TAAATCAGAACAAAAATTTGGAAAGCAATAGGCACTTCACAAGAGAAGTCATCTTACTAAATATGGGTGTAGTATCGTTTATAACTACAGTCGATATCAATTGTCTAACACTATGCAGCCCAGCTTGCAACAAAATTGAGGTAAAAAAATTCTGCTGCACCCTATTATTCACTATGCCCGAAACCTCGAACATAAGAACTTTGGCCAAATCGACGGGGGCCTCGACTTCACCCACACACACACAACAATGGACAATGAAAAGGCCTGAAGTCATTGAAAGCCTGGTTGAATAGCCTCGCCCTTATGTTAATTGCTGCAAAGTCGTTCTAAGCGCAAAATACACATCTAGACGCGAACTCAAAAGTTTGGAGTTCGTTGCCAGAATGTCAAGCGACAAATTTATACGACCTTTTTAACGGAAGGACTCGGACTTTACCTCGGAGACTAGTGTGTATAGTGTAGTCTATTCATTTCTTACAACTGCAGCACAATATATGTTTGGCATTGCTTTTAGTATAAGTACTCATGCTTTGGAATACTATACAATCACGTTTCAAAAGTGTGTGGACTAGTAGTAGTCTTGCATAGATAGGGTAAAACCTAAGTGTTTGCTAGTAAGCCAAAAAGGGATTCGTAGATCTTAGAGATAAACGAAGTTTGCTGTCGGAGAAAGTTTTTAATTGGGTTTGAAAATTTTGAATATTCCCATGGATGAGAAAGCATTCGTTTTTTCGTAATTTGACCAACATTGTTCCCTTCATAATTCGCCAAAAAAATTTTTTGAGATAATCGACGATTTCGGACGTGCGAAACAGCGAAGATCCCGTCTTATACTCAGTGTACTACATCACCAAGATACCCTAAGAGATAGTTTTTTTTTAATTATAAATTTGTCCTCCAAATGCTAACAGAGCTTGTTGCATTATAGGTAGACTGCTAAGTAGAGTGCTCTCATAGAAAGAACTAATATTTGTTCATTGCTGTTATTGTTAGAGTAAGTAAAAATCACAGCCAAAGTATCAAAATTGTTCACTCGAGATACCGGCTGGCCTTTGGATGAAAGTTCTGTGCTAGACTTTCTTCTGATACATAACAGAGTAAACAGCAAAAATAAGGAAAATGGTGCCAATGTACCAGAGTTCTTACATCAAAAACCAGAGGGAAATAATGCCAATGTGACTATATCAGCGAGTAGAAGAGGACTTCTGCCGCTTTCAATTTGTGCAATGAATCAAGCTTCTGCTCTAGTACGTTCGATGCAAGCTCAGCATATCAAAAACTTGTGTTATTGGTTTTACCAAGCCAAAAATCGAACGCACTTTAAATTGTTCGTATGATTGATAAAAGCTAAAGCTTGATAAAAGCTAGTATAAATAGCCTCGTGATGAAAAAAATATTGTTGTTAGGCAAAAGAAATGTTTCAAGTTCGTTTCGAGGCCGATTTAAATAACCAGGTTGTATGATACCCTCTTAAAATGGAAGCGTTTTTATAGAAGTAATTTTATTACAATTAGATGAGTTGTACGTCGTTTTTGAAAGCAATAAAAGCAGCGTCCACCCAATATTTCGCCTTTCAGGTCTTTGTCATTCTGGCGCCTTTCTATGACCGTATAAAGTCAAATTGTCCGAAACCCTCAAATCCGATTCCTGGGACCCTGCTTTAAAGACAGTGGCTCGGTAAAACCGAACATTTCAAAATTTTGATACTGAAGGTTGTTTGCATCCTGAACATGAGAACAGAGCAGGGAGCGCTTGCCACGCACAAGGCGCGTTATTCTTCGGACCGTATACGATGGGTGGTTTACAAAGGATCTAGGCATTGTTGATGATCAACTGAAATTTTCTTTGCATTACGACTCAATCATTAAAGAGGCTCATGCTATTTTGTTTATCGTTCTGAGAAGTACTCACAGTAACGGTGCAAACATCCTGGTTAGACTGTGCAAAACTTATGTGTGACCTCTTCTTGAATACGCTTTTTTCGTGTGAAGTCCATTCTCAGAGATAAATATGGAAAAGCTAGGAAACGTGCAAAACATTCACCAGAACTCTTTTTTGGAGATGCTTTTCCTGGTCTGAATATCCTCACACATTCGTTCATTACAATGTGGGACTTTTTACTCCAAATTTACGAAGTTTGAAGTACAGACATATATGCAATGATATCGTGTCTCACATTCTACTTTGAGACACCAGACTAAGACCTATCATATTCTGGTTAATTCTTCATAGCCGACTTCTGAGAGTGTATGGGACTCCATATGTTCTCTGCTCGTAAAACCTCGACATTGTAGTAGTACTCTCTTTCACAATGTGGCAGTTAGAAGCTTTCAGCTGTCTGAAGAAGGCGTTATTGCCGAAACGTCAGGCTCGATAGATAAAGCTACATGGGAAACATGGAACATACTGTCTGCAAGTATTTGCAAAGACATCTACTTCTCAGTGACAATTCGTTGTTTGCTGCATTTTTGGAAATCTTCAGGAAACTGCTTTCCCAACAATCCAAGTAGATTAGAATAAATCCAAAGTTTTGCTTCCATGCACGTTATGTAGTCTTGTCTGCCTGCATGCGTGTTGGATTTATGCTTGTAGCGCTTGATGTTCGATGCCCTGACTTATCACTAATGGAGATTGAGCCATTCATGTCAAATCAATTTCAGAAATAAAGCAAGATGATTTTAAGACGAACTTGACGTTTCTGACTGGTATTTTGCACACTTATGGGCTCTTATATGGTCTACTATTCTTGTAAAGACCAGTAAAGACTCTGCTTAGGGGCGCCTCTTCTCGCTCGCCTAGGGTCCTTGATCTGTCAACCTTGGGCTAAGTTGGTCAGACAGGCCCTGATAAGTTTGTTTGTTTGATTATTTGTTTGATTACTTATATTTATTTATTTACTTATGTAATACACAGGAGTGCGCCAAAAAAGCAAACAAAAACAAAAAAGCAAACAAGGCAAAAAACTCAGCTTGACATTTGAATGTTTCTTCCCACGCGTTCGGGTAAGGGGAAAGAAAATCGGTAAAGCTACACTCACTTCTTGGAGATGGAGAGCGAATCATTCATCAAGGAACAATATGATCCAACGTCAAGTGCCTTATTTTTGCGTTTTTTTTTGTTTTTGCTTTTTTGGTGGACTCTTGTGTATTGCATAATAAAAGAAACGAAGATTTTCCACTTTAAGATTTCTTTGCATCACTATGCATACAAAGTTCGTATGTTAATTCATGTGTCTTCCATAAAAAAAAGCCAAATGATTTCCATTTCGATAGTTTTCAGTAAGTACCACAAGCTTTATGCAATATGACGAATGCACCATAATGCTTCAAAACATTTTCTGAACACACTCTTCACAGAATATTATAAATCTAAGTTCGCGGACTTTACGAGTCATTTTATTTTTGACAGCAACTCAAGCGAATAGCTTTCACATTTATTTTGATTTCAGAAACCACATTTAGTCTACCATACAGAACTTGAATAGCATACAAACATTTGATGCCGGGTCAAATGAAGTTTTGCGCACGTTGAACACTAAATGCGTCATACACTTGAAAAATAATAGGGTGCAACAAAAAGGAGAAACGGGCACATATTTTTGGTAGGGTGTCGCGAAAACAAATAGAAGGCAAGAATGAGTCCCTTCAGTAACCACATTCTAGGAGAATCGCAACCTGTAAAACGAATACATGCTCGTACATTACCTGGTTTAGCGTTTTTACGACAGATCTAGAAGGTTACAGAGAATTATAGAAACAGACTATTTCGCACAGATCATTACCAATATATACGTAACTTCAGGGCGTTTTTGATGATCGATTAATAGTTTAAATACGTTTCTATGACTAGTTTTTTACGAGTTTTCCTCTAAAATGAAGGGAAGAAATTGCGAATCTATCAAAACCAGAGATGTGTGGATTCAAAGTAGCAACAATGAATAGCTCTACCCATTTGGCTACATTCGTAAAAATGTATGTAGCGTCTTGCCCCAGCCGTAGTCCCACTAAATGTCAAGCAAAGGAAACAAAAAATCTTAATTCACTCTTTTTGCGCCAATCTCAACAGCTTTTGTCTTCCTGTGATGTTAGTAGAGAAGAGTTCGAATAATGATGAGAAAAAAATGATAGCGCCTAAGATGCAAGCAGCATCTGCTATTTCAACTAACGATAAGTAATTAGAATTATGAACAAGGGAGTGCCGTAAGATCCATAAACAAACCCAAGACCACAGGCTTTCCCAAAAGTGTGTACGCAGTGGTTATTCTTTGATATCTCTCTTTCCTCAGAGTCTTTTGACAATTCAGATACCATTCCGTAAAGCTGCTTCAATAGTTTAACGATATGAAGCGTTTCACTGATCTTACTTTATTACTGCAGAATTACGGTAGGCACTTCATGCATGCAGTGCCAGTGTGAAATGAGCCCCCTGAAAAAAATGTCCTGAAAAAGTGTGTATCATCCTGGTAACATAGAACATCTTCATATGGGTTTTCAAGCTTTCTAGTCGTGTATTTGAATTCAAAGTACACCGAAAAATTCGTTTTTACACTATACCTAGCATAGCTTTCGAAGGCAGTATCCATTCAAATTTTCGCCTTTCATGTTTCTATTATTCCGGAGCCTTTTTGGCCCTGATTGCAGATATGGAAAAGTGTGCAAAACCTTTTCCCAATTTCTAGAAGCCCTATTTTAAAGTCTTTAGTCAACTTTCAATAGCTGGACGGGCAGACCTTGATAGCGTGGGGGTGATTTCATAGCATTTTCGCAGGTTCCAAATCCATCTTTTCCATTCAGAGACTATATTGGAGAACCAAACCAATGTATATGTCCCAGAGAGCTTAAATTTTGCCTGGGCGCTGTTTTTAAGCTTATGGGGGAGCAGGGGGGGGGGAGTGGAATGTGGCACAGAGCTGTATGGGTATTTCTTGTGGATATAAAGGACTCCTAGGTATGGAAATTTACACTTAGCTCATAATTGCATAATTCTGCAAGACATAAAGATACAGTAAACGCTTTATTAATGGACAACATAACATTCCGAGATACTAATCGATAATTACGGAAGTGACTGTTTTTTGTGTGAGGTCAACCTATAATACATACCTGTAATCTCATACAACGCCAACTCATATTCATGCTTTTTGTAACTTTGAGTTGTGAACTCTCAACGGTTGTTGGCATTAGTGCCTAGAATACTTGAACTTTGACATTTACAGGAACTATTAAACAATGTTAAAACAATCCAGGCTTTGAGAAAGAGAAAGCACCTAGCCTGGAGAACTCAAAGCAATTATGAACAATACGGCAGGAACAACAGGATGTAAAGTGAAAGGGTCATTTTTGTAGAAGAGACCTGAGTGGCGAGCGCAAAAGTGTCAAAATAATACTTGGCTGTAGGAAAGCACGCAGACGAGACAACAATAACAAAAACACATGATGAAGGAAAGAAAAGGAAACGTTGCAAAAATGCCCGCAAAAATCACAGGGGGATCGTACAAGTACGAAAAAGTAGTACATGAAGAGAAGATTATGGCAGTACATGTGTGTTATAATACAGCATCAATGGGTAGATCTTCGGAATCGCTAGCATCTATGTCACAGATTGCTGATGTCGCTAATGAATCTGTATCACCGCCTCCACGATATGGAGGATCGTCGTAGACTCGAGAATTGAACAGAAGATTCTTATGACTAGGTGGTGGCGGAGCTGAATGCGTCAGTTCGGGTCCATCCATGCCTGTAACAGAAATTTCATACTGATTAAAAAGGTTACATCAAAATAGTGTCTAAGCATATCTGGGCGTTTCTTATGCTAATATCAATGGGTATGCCCCTCCCCTTCTCCCAAAAATGGGCCAAATGCTTTGGAAATATCCTATGGGTTATAAAATTGTGCGAATGCCTCTACTTGATGGAAAAGGATTCTCTCAAAATTTTCCAATGGTACATAATTATTCGCTTAGGCGCACACCCTTTCACTCAGAAAAAAATTTCTCCACTGCCCCGCCTAAAAAGAAATTATCCGAACCGCTGGTGAATTCTGATTGAAGCCTTAGTCCAGACATTGCCCAAGCGGCAATCCAAATAGCCGATTCTTAGCCAAGAAATCTAGGTCTAAACACCAGTCCAGACTACTCTTTCAGCGTTTCCTCAATAGATGATAGAAACGGTATGATCTGGAGCCTAGAGTTGGTCTTTTTTTGCCATGAATGAGCCACACAATGCCGTTTAAACAAAGACTCACATAAGCCCTCTCAGTTCCGACATAAGAAGAAGTCACTCCCATATTTATCTAGATGCATATTTAGGTACAGTTCAGTAGCCCATGCTCCGCCATTTAATTCAAGGACCGTAAAGGCCGCGTGTCAGCCACGCGCCAAACCATTGCCAACACGGCGCCAGCACGACGCTAGCACGACGCTGGGACGGCTATGGCAAACGATGACACAGGCAACCCCGAGGGAAGAATTGAGCCTCAAGCAAAAAGCACCAACCATCACTATCGTCACCATTATCCAAAAGTGGTCGCCGCTGCGATTCACTGGATGCGACGGGTACAACACTTCGACGTGGGCGCATCGTCATGTAGTCATCGTCGTTGATCACTGGACTCAACACCGTCTCTCCCACTTTTACGCGACCCGTAAGCGATTCGATCCTGAATAATACTGCATTTATATGCCATGAAAAACCGTTTGTTTGTGTGTGGCGCTGTGCCGGCACCGTGCCGCAACGATCCATCAATACATGCAACTTTCACGCGTGTTCCGGCACGGCACCGGGACGGTGCTGGCACGACGCTGACACGCGCTGGCACGCAGCACTAGGGACGCAGCTAATTGTAAGAATTCGTGTCTCAATACCTTAATCGCTCCATTTGTATGGCTGCTCCAATACGATCAACCCCATCACCCCATTTCTCTCCACCCTCGTCTTCTTCCGTGGTGGGTAAGCACTGAATCGAATCTGCCAATGGTTGCCTGAAAAGTACCAGACATAGCACAACCAAAACAGTACCCAAAAATTCTCTCGTACCGCTCCTGGCTCAGCGAAGACAGCGCATCTCGAGTAATCGCCGAGGTTCTATCTGTCTTCTGAGCACGATTCCTGCCAACGGCGTTACTCGTGTCTTCATCTTCTTCTTCGGGAACACGAAAACCAAACCTGCGCAATGCTTCCAGTGCAGAGGATTCGTGAGAGCCTCGTCCAGACTAAAAACAAGGATTGAGGGTACCAAAAAACTACCAAGGAGAATAGGACGAAAGGCTTTCATTCTGCCGGTAGACCGCGCGCTTGCGGACATCTGCCACAAATCATGCATCTCAGCACGCTGAAGATTATGATAGTTGCTCGCGCAGGCATACTCCACCGGCGGTAACGCTTTTCTACTCAGAATAAATCAAAACTACCTCGTCTAGATCATCTCCCGCGCTACCGTAATCCGTGACTCGCTTCCATGGTTTCCCAGAGCCGGCTATCGATGGTGACCGCGATTCTGTTCTTCCGCATGACGACAACCGTTCACGCTGAGGTAATGGACGAACCTGAAGTCGAATGGATAACGGTAAGCCTAACAATTGCAATTAAAGGTAGGTACAGTACCTGTACAGTCGGCAAACCAGTCAGTTGTGCTTGTTCAAGGTTAGATATCATTTGATTTCCTCCACGGAATGCGCGAGGTGGTAGAGGAGGCGGAGCTGTCACAACCGGTGGTGGCGCATGAGGATTTCGCATATGTGTGACGGAGTGGATATGCTCTCCATACTTGGTATCCTCGCTACAAAATCAATAAAATCAATATACAACGATATAATAGTAAAAAATGATTTTTAACCAACCTCTTCGTTTTCAAGCATCTACAAACCATGAGAATCGCAAAAATCACAGCTATTATGAGGACCAGTATGGCTAGAGCGATTATTAGCTCCACAAAAGAGATTCGAGTAACGAATGAAGGCGCAACGTCTGCAATTGCACATTTACCATAGAAGCGAATTACTTGAAATAATTACCGTCGCAGGTCTTTCCAGAGAATCCATGTGTGCAATTACAGATGTAACCCAAATTATGCGCATGTTGTCGTGGTATGGGTATACATGTACCATGCTCTCCACATGGTTCGGTAGCACAAGCATCGTCGATATCTAGAAGACAAAATTCTGAGTGTTTCGAGGCTTCTGAGTACAGTACACCTACCGTATCCCCGGATCTCGCATCTCTTCCCAGTGAAGCCGTTTGGACATTTACATAGGTATTCGTTATAGAATGGGATACATTGGATGCCCAGAGGGCAGGGACGAGACCCGCAGGGATCGGAATCGATCTCGCAGTTGATGCCAGTGTATCGAGAAGGGCAAGTGCATCTGAACAGAACGGAGAAAAATTCATGGAAAATGCGACAACACGAAAGTAAATATTTTACAGAAAAAATACGAATCAAAACAAAAAAAAATCGATGAAGAATGAAACATTTGTGCGTAAAAAACTCACTGATAGGTCCGGCCCAGAACATGACACGATCCTCCATTAATACACGGAGCTTCCGAACATGGTGTCGCAGCCATGGCACGACATCCGGTATTCGCGCTATATAGCCGTAGTCCTTGTCGGGTCTTTGCGACGCTTCTACAACTGACGGATTGAATTACCCAAATGAGTATCAAATTTCCTTTATAGCTTTGGCGCGAAAAACTCGCCTACGATCTACAGAAATCGCTCGGAAACACGCTACAATAGCGTTGGTGATGGAGATAGACGAGCCGTTGCCGCGTTCGACGCGGGCGCCAAAGTATAAACGGTGACTGGCAGAATAGAGATTGATGACGTCACTGCCTGAAAGAAAAGAGATGGAATAAAATTGCAACTATTAATATTGATCCAATATTATTGAGTAAGTAAGTAAATAACCAATAAATAATTTTAAAAAATGGAAAATGAAAATAATTAGAATTATTATAAATAAGGAATGATAATAATAAATAAATAAGTGGTAAAGAAGTAGACAACAGTTCTCAAAAAATTAGATTTTACAAATAAAGAGAATTTTTGAAAATTGCGCACCTGGCAAGCTCCACCCTTCTTTCGTGTCGGTTCCATCCAGGACCAGCCTAGTTCTTCGACCACGACGACTCACTGAAATACGGTGCCACTGTGCGTCGGCGATCGAAGCATCCGTAGCAACGGATCCTTCACCCGAACCAGCATCCCACCGGTACACGACACGTCCATCAACGAGCTGAAGTTCCCAGATTATATGGTCCTAATGCGCATAGTTTGAGCGTTTACCTCTAGCATGTGGTAGTCGCTAGGTCCATGCGCATGCAGAATCACTCCTTTGAGAGTAGTCGTCTTCATTTCTACCTCAAGCTCCATTCTGGTCTCAAGTTCATGCGCGATTGACATTTCAAAATAGCCATCACCACCGACGGACAGTTCGGCTTCTAAAATAATAAACTTGAATGAGGGAAATCAAAAATTAAAACATTGGAAAAAAATCTGGAAAAAATGACGTCATTAAGGTAAGAGTGGCTCACCTTCCAAACAACGTCCCTCATTCTCGCAAGATGGTTGTGCGCAACGATCTCCAGTTGTTCCCGGAGGACAAATGCAATCGTGTCTACCTTCATCTCCGGGTACGCACATTTCCCAAGCTTCACATGGTGATCGAGCACAGGCGTTGATTTCGAGTTCACAACGTTGTCCACCGTACCTGAAAATCATTTTACTATAGTACGTTGTCGAAAAAGTTGTTTGTTCCACGGTACTTTCACAAACTCGTAAACAGGAGCCTAATATGTTAACTATCCATGTGGATACTGTTTGGGAGGGTTGGGTCAAGGCACTTTCCAAAATGCAGCTCACAAAAATAATTCACAAATTCAACTCTAGACTCTCGCCCAGTACCGTATCCGAGAACGCTAATTGGTCGAAAAGGCTACGGTATGGGAGAAATGAACTTGGGCCAAGCGGCAGCTCGACTGATTCATATGAGCTTGGGTAACGATCTATTTAGAAATTCCGAATCACTTTAAACATGAGAAGCCCGATCATTTTGATTTGGCTGAACATCATTTTTGCGCAAGAAAAGCAAACTGGGCCACAAGAAAAGCATTAAAGCCATTGGAAATTTATGGGAAATCTTGGAAATTCAGCTGATTCCAGCAATAAAAGAAAAATTTGAATAGTTGAGTCTCCGATCAAGAACTGACTTACCCTTCAGGGCAAATACACTCCGCCAACCGATCATGATGTGGTGCAACAAATGCTGTGCCTCCGATGGAAATGACTGTTTGCTGTTGATCATTCATGTAGACTCGTTCACGACATTCACCTCTTTGGCACACACCCGGGGTGCACATTTCCGTGGTTAGTTGGTATTTCTGTAAAAGAATAAGAGATTTTTCAAACATTGGAAAATGGAAAAACTCACCATTTTCCCACTATGATCTGCGATATTCTGGAAGTCGTGCTTAAGCCTTGTGTACACATGATCCGGCTTCAGCATTCCTCTACCACCTCCTCTGGATACGGTAAAAAGAATATCCAGATCGGTATTTTCGGAGTTGAGGATTTTGCTAGCCCTTGGTAGGCGTTTTCTCTGTGTTTCTTGTACACTCAGCAGCTGGATATTCTGTGGCTCCACGTTCAGATGTTGGGCAAATATCGACTTGAAGGTGTTTATATGCTCAGTGAAGAATTCCAGCGCTGTCATTCCCTTCAGACGGACTGAGACGGCGTGATCTACAGCATCTTGCTCGACTGATATCACATCGACTTCGACATAGCTGACAGTGGTGAATTTTCCATCGGTGACGGATACATTGAAAGCATGGAGCCCTCCGGGTATACCGTAATCGCTCCAGACTTCTCCACTCTTGGCATCGACTCGGAATAGATGGGGTTTGACAGCGTGAGCTCTAGGATGCGCTTCTGTCGAAAGGGGTCCCACAACGCTTCCATCTACTATGGAGTATCGAAGCATGTCTCCAGAATCTTCATCTCTGGCTTGAACCGTTCCAATGACTCCTCCTTTGAACTCTCCCATCAGTGTCATTAGGGCAATTTTCAGGGGCGTGATTTTTGGTGGATGTCTGCTTTCCTCCTTCACAAACACTGTCAGTGGACAGTCTGTGGAACGATTCCCCCTATCGTAGGCAATTAGAGTAAGCAAGAATCTGTCCCTCTTCGAATGATCAAAACGAGTCACACTGACGAGATTGTACTGCTCATCCACCATGAAAGCCTTCGATCCTTCTCCACGAACTTCCACTCGGAATGGCGCTCCGTACTGGGGACCATCGGCATCACTAAGGGACAGGGTAAGAATCACATGCCCTGGCATCACTCCTTCCTGTACCACAGCTGTCATATTACAATCGGCAAACACTGGAGCATTATCATTCACATCATTCACGTCAATCAGTACCGTAACCAACGACTTCTGCGGTGGTTCACCGCCATCACGTGCTTCAACTTGGAACCGATGGTATGGGTTTGTCTCCCTGTCAAGCATGCCCACTACCGTAATCCAACCATTGTCATCAATTTGGAATGGGCCGGGATCATCCTTGATGGAATAGGCAACACGACCATAGTGTTCACTATCGGCATCGACAGCTTTCACCTTCAATATCCTCGTTCCATTGGGAGCATTCTCATCAACGGACGATTTGTAGCTTTCTGTAGCAAATATTGGAATGTTATCGTTCTCATCCAGGACTTGTATCGTAACCACAGCTTCCGAAGACAAAGGTGGCTTTCCGGAGTCTGTTGCCACCACCGTCACCGACAGCAGCTTCTCTTTCTCGAAGTCCAAGCCCTTAGCCAGTCGCAGAATGCCTTTCTCCTTATCCAAGCTGACAAACGAGTTATGTGTTCCATTCTCAGCCAAGGTATAGGTGACGCTTTCGCCAGCATCTCCTCCCTGAGCTCGGAGAGCTACGAGGGTATAACCCACGGACTCAGATTCCATAACCTGCAGGACATACTCGTTCTTCTCGAACTGAGGCGGATTATCATTCTGGTCGATTACGGTAATTCGCACAGTCGCTTTGCTGCTTCTCGGGTTAACAGGATCGGAATCTTGTGCCATTACGGTCAGCACGTACTCAGGCGTAACTTCACGATCCAACGGTCGAATTGTGCTAATCGCCCCAGTATCGCTATCAATGACGAAAGCACTGTAGTCAGCTAGCAGACTGTAACGCACTCTTCCATAAGCTCCGGAGTCTTTGTCAACAGCATGGACTGCAGTGACAAAACTTCGCTCCGATTCAGTTGCGGCTTCGTTCTCTTTAATGGAAGCGAGAAACTCGTCCTTCACAAACTTCGGGGTCTCATCATTCACATCTTGCACGTGGACAATGACTTGTTGGTTGCAGGTGGATCCAGAACTCTTGGTTTCCAGCTGTCTCGTAAAGGTGTACTGAAAAATTAAAGATTCTTGAAGCCAAGAAAAAACAATGTCATGCTGTTGAGTGAAGAATTTGTGAATTGAATTCACCTTTTTTTGTTCAAAATTTCGAAAGAAGTATTGCATGAGCTAACATACCTTCTTCCTGGTTTCTGCATCCAGTTCTCCTTGCACAGTGATAGAACCAGTTTCTTGATCCACAGCAAATGGCAAAACTTCCGATGAAATCAACAAATATCGAGATCCACTAACACCCATGCGTGACTCCTCATGATGGACTTCAGTGCCTTTCTTTACATCCTCGCTAACTTTGATCTCAATGCCCTTTTCCGGATCACATTCGAAAGCGCTCGAGGAGGATCCAGAATGTAACGTAATCATCATCAGAGCAGTGGTGGCATGAGTGCCATCAAATGCCAACAGTGTCAGATTGTAATTCTCTCGAATAAGGTGTTGGTTGAGACGAGCTATGGAGACTTTTCCAGATTCATCAATCTTGAAAAGTCCATCGTCATTACCACGGCTGATAAATAGTCGAGTGTTGTTGAAGGGAGGGAGATCCTTGTCCTAAAAAAGCGGCGATTTCCATATTTGTCAGATCAAAGTCAGTGCACATACCGTAACCTCCACTCTGGCTATGATCTGGCCGATAGTCAGGTGACTGGCATCTACGCTCACGATGTAGAAGTTCTCGTCAAAGCGAGGAGGTTCGTCATTGACGTCAGTAACCTAAAACGGTGCGGTTATTAAGGTGCCACCATAATAAAAAATTGCAAATCAAATTAAAGAAATATATAAATAAGAAATATAGAATAATGAGGTGAATTGAGATCAGTTTACTAAAATAAGCTTGTTTCTCGTCCTCTCCCCTCCCTCTATGAGCCAAATGGAGATCAAATTTGTTGTATTGAAGTCTCAAACATTATTGTCGTACAATTATTTTTGAACCTCACTGATATAAGAATAAAGTTTTGCAAACATCATATCTCATGAAAAATATATTCTTCTAATTAGCTATGATTAGAGACAAACGTAACTCATACACAATTTTTTGATAATCACATAGATAAGCAAGGATGCTGAGACATAGAATCTACCGTACCTCAACTTTGAACTTGTGATCCGTGAACAGTCCACCTTCATCAGTTGCTCTTACAGTCAAATCATATAGTGGACGAGTTTCCCGGTCCAGCGGTGATGCTACCAGCAGCCAGCCAGACTCCTGGTCAATTTTAAAGGCACTGTTGGGCTTCTCGTCCTAAAAATCAATAAGACAATACCGAACTGAACTACAGTAGCTCGAACCAATGGTTACGTACCTCTGCCAAGCTAAACGCTATCATTCCTCCGGGCGATTTGTCCAAATCCGTTGCGGAGAAGACTGCCACACTCGTTCCGACTGGAGCATCCTCACTAATGGAAATGCGATCGTAAGCTCCAAGGAACATCGGCGCATGATCATTCACATCCGACAGACGAAGTGTGACTGTCGCCATAGAGTGCGCTCCACTGACAACTTCTGCTCTAGCGGCGAATCGCCAGACTTCCTTCTTTTCTTTGTCCAGCGGCTGTCGAACAATCAGCTTTCCAGTCGAACGTTCCAGCGTAAGTGGAAAATCTGCGGGAGGATCGAAGACGGAGAAACGAACATCGGTAAGATCTAAATCAGCAAAGTTTATGTTGAAAACAGAGGGGGGGGGAGGGAAGAAGAAATCTTTCCAGAAAACACTTACCTTGCTCAGTTTGCTGAAGCTTCCCAACCACAGTTCCGACAGCGACATCTTCAGCAACCACAAATAAGTAATGGCTGTTGGTGAATTTTGGAACAGGCGTATCTTCGGGAAGAACAGAAATAGAAACCTGGAAATGACAAGAATTTGCAGAATTTTTTTTCAAAGTATTAGGTTGTGACATAAGTCTTGTTACACTTAACTTCTAACGGCGATAAGTCATACACCTCATAGTCTTTGCAGGACTTCAGGGTACCAACCGATAGAGCAAAGCAAGCTCTACAAAATGGTCTGCAAAAGTTCGCACCAGCTCCGAACCACCGTAAGTTTGCAGCCAAAATGTGAGTCGTACTGAAATTCAAAAAATCGCGAAAAATTCATATCTTTGTTTAAACAAATCCTACGGATCTCCAACTTGCTCATAAAAATTGCCCACTATATCAAACACTCATATGTACCGTTGCTGTACTTTTTCCTTATCTAGAAATCGAGAAAAAGAATTTTTTTTAGTTTTTACAAAAACGAAGCTATGCTATTTCTTTTTATGTAGCTGTATACTACAAGCCCTTACAAGTATAACTGTAAATTTTCAGCTTCCCAGAAGCCCTAGTTTTCGAGAAATGCCAAATTTGGCTTTTATCACTCGGGTGCTCAATGCTAAATTAGGTATTTCTCGAAAACTAGGGCTTCTGGGAAGCTGAAAATTTACAGTTATACTTGTAAGGGCTTGTAGTATACAGCTACATAAATAGAAACAGCATAGCTTCGTTTTTGTAAAAACTAAAAAAAATTCTTTTTCTCGATTTCTAGATAAGGAAAAAGTACAGCAACGGTACATATGAGTGTTTGATATAGTGGGCAATTTTTATGAGCAAGTTGGAGATCCGTAGGATTTGTTTAAACAAAGATATGAATTTTTCGCGATTTTTTGAATTTCAGTACGACTCACATTTTGGCTGCAAACTTACGGTGGTTCGGAGCTGGTGCGAACTTTTGCAGACCATTTTGTAGAGCTTGCTTTGCTCTATCGGTTGGTACCCTGAAGTCCTGCAAAGACTATGAGGTGTATGACTTATCGCCGTTAGAAGTTAAGTGTAACAAGACTTATGTCACAACCTAATATTTCGAAAGTAGAACAACGTTCTGACTTAATTTAAGCGATAGAAAAATAGGTAGATAATGCAGGTAAATAGATAGATCTATTTTTGAGAAAAAAGCGCTTCTCAGTCATTAATGGCTCCTGGGGACCACTTCTCGTAAAACATTCATATAATCAGATTGTTGATGAGGATGAGATAAATCGATGTTTGGGATCGTAACCCTAGCATGAAGAAGCCCCTCCAAACACTAAATATCACTTCGTTTACGTGATTAACCAAATGATTAACACTGTTACCGTACCCAACCCTGACTAACACTGCTACCGTACCCGAAATGACCAATCAGGGACTTGAGAACACTTTGACTCATATTTGGAGTGCGAAAGCAACTCTTTCACGAAGAAACGGAAAAAAAGTTTCTCTCTGCATTTTAATTTTTTACAACATACTATACAAAGAAAAAGAGAAATCATTTACCTGGGCAGTTGCATGATGTGGTGGATTGGCCTGATCCGTTGCCTTTACAGCGACATTCACTGTTTTTCCCACTGCAATAAATATTATACTGATCTATCTGATCCTATTTCCTTAATTCACTCACCAAATGACAATAGCGGTCCTGCAACGGACAATGTCCCGTGTCGAGGATGTACTTTGAAGACAGCGGCTACTTTATCATCCCCCAGCAAGGTGTATTCGATGGCATCATCAACATCTTCGTCCGTAGCCGATACCATGAGAAGTGCTTCACCTTCACGAGCGCTGGCAGATACGGAGGTGGAATACCTAAATTCAGAATGGTGCTAGTTTTCTTCAAATTGTTTTAGAACGATAGTATAGGAAAAAACGGATTTGGACTATTTTGGACCGTTTGTGCACGATGCAAGCTTCGTCGCGTGCGTTGTCGCTAGTGAACAGTTCCCCATGGTCAATAGCGCTTTCTATGCGCATAATTTATGCCCAGCAAGATAAATCGCGTTAGACATGACAGATGTACTCAAGCGAACAAGCATGAACTCGTTCAGTTCGCGTTGGCTCCGCCCTGCGAAGACCTCGCCAATCGCAGCAGAGGCCGGCCAATCAAAGGCAAGTCGAGCTGCTATCGGAAAAACTCACTTGGAGGTGACAAATACAGGCGTGCTATCGTTTTCATCAATGACATTTACGGTAAGAGTGCTGAATGCTCTTCGACCGATACCATCTTCGACCATGAGAGGAACTCTAAAAAACGTTGAAGTGAATGTTTGAAAAAAAAGGCAGGTTATACAGGGTGTCCCAAAAGTAAGTACACACTTTTCAATCGTTAATAACTTTCTTCCCATTGTGTCTTTTTCCACCATTCAAGTACCACTCTGTAGAGGAGGCTTCAACTTAGATTTGCGGTATCGAGCGAATCGCCGATTGCTCTTCGTTACTGCAGGATTACTGTAGGAGCTTCGACAACGATTTTAGGCCATTGAAAGCCGTGCCTAGGAACAAAACCAAACAAGCCAAAAACTCTTATACTATAGTAATGGAAGCCGCTGATTTCGAATATAAAGTGTTTACTTTACTGTGATGCATATTTCCAAAGTTATCCCAGGTGAACCGTTATAAGTGAATTTTCAGTTTTTGTCAGAAGTGTGATTTTACCGTCAAAAAAGCTGAAAACAATTGTGAAAAGTTGTGTAGTGGAATCAGCGTGCGAGAAAACCCTAGTAAGACGATTTTTCAGTTTTTTGAAAAAATTTTGTCAGATGGCATATTTCACAAAAGTTCCACATGCCGAAAGTTCTTACCGTAATCCTACAGTAACGAAGAGTGATCGGTAATTTGCTCAATACTGAAAGTCTAAGTTGAAGTTTCCTCTACAGAATGGTACTTGAATGGTAAAAAAAGACCCATTGGGAAGAGAGATATTGACGATTGAAAAGTGTGTACTTACTTTTGGGACACCCTATAACAAAGGTCCCACCTATGGGTATGTTGAGCATTATAGTTGAAGATGATTTTTGGATGGATTCTTCCCGAAGTCTTATCGATGCGTAGCGGTTTCGTCCGAGAATCTCCATTTCCGATGGTATAATGAAGAGGTGGAACACCGTCACGTGCTTGGACGGTCAGGATTGATGTTTTGTTGGTTAGCGCACTGAAAAAATAATTTTTATACAAAAATGTAAAAAAAATTTGTATGGGCCAGTTTGCACAACTGTAAGTTAGGGTCCATAAGGGGCCGCAATCGCGCGCAGCACCGCGGCGGGAAATTTGCCGCGTGTACGAGATGTTAAGACAAGTCACGAGGGTGCCGTTGGCACTGTAGTGCAAAACGGCCGCCTTTCAAAAAAAAAATGGAAAAAATAGTAAATAGTTTTCAGAATATGCAAACTTACTTATTCTCCCTCAATGCCACCACATACTGGCTTTGTTCAAATCGCGGTGGTGGCTGACGACGTCCGGACACAGCAATCGTTATGGTCAACTGTCCATAAGCAGTAAATAGCCCATCCGATACGGATACATTTAGCGTTTTCTTCAGATTATCCCCCGCAATGTCATCAGCGTCGATAGATCGCAGTAAAATTACTTCTCCACTGTGCTCCGATACATCGAATAGGGTCTCGTCACCTTCGATGATAGAGTACAAGAGTCGATGCCCATCTGCGATCGAGGATACGGTATCCTAGAGAGGCACGGTTACGGTATGGGCGAAATCGGAAAGCGCAGCAACTTACCTCATCGGTGACACTCATGATCGCTATGAACTGTCCAGCAGGGGCAGTATCCGATACTGTAGCGGCAGCAAACGATGTAGAGAACTTTGGCGGTTCGTCGTTGACGTCCTCGACCTTAAAAAAAGCTTAGTCAATTGCAAAAAAGACGACTCAAGAGAGATCAAACTGACCATTAGCACTAGCTTTGCTTCACCAGTCAACTGAGAGCCATCTGCTGCCACCAAAGTGACTTCGTAGCGCTGTTTCTTTTCAAAATCCAGCATTTGTGCTAATCGAATTACTCCAGTAGCAGGATCCACATGAACAACTGGAAAAATTTTTTATTTGTTTTCAAATCTCTTTACGAGCCCTTCTTTACGTAAGGCGTTACACTGGCACCGCTACAGTATGCTACTGCATGTTATTGCGTAAAACCTGACGTGATTACAGTGCGACTGTTTGAAATTTCATAAAGGCGCGGCTTCAAAGAGCCATTGCCTTCAAAGCAGCCAGCGGATTACGGTAGCATGCGGTTTCCAAAGATGCCCATGCCAGGGCCGTTCCAGCGACATGCTAACCCGTGCCGGAACGGTGATGATCAATACCGGGTGCGTCCATATGGGTCATGGCAAGGCGCCAAAATGACGCTGGCACGACGCTCGAACGGCGCTGACACATTTTCGGCAGCAGGAAAGAACTTACCCTTTGAATCTTTCCCAGTTACTCCATATGTAATTACACCGTCTCCGTCTGGATCCATTGCTTTTACGGTAATCAGCTGCGTATCTACGGGAGTAGCTTCCGACACGTTGACCCGATAGATCAGATGCTCGAATTTTGGACCATTGTCGTTTACACCAAGGACCTGAAAAAGATAACCTTTTTTTATGTAGCTTGCTCCCCCCCCCCCCCTAAATATACACGTTGCGATTCTTTAAAACATTACCTGAATATTAACCACAGCTGTTGAGTTCAAGCTATTTCTCGTTACATCTCTTGCCATGACAGTCAGGTTGTGCACAGAAGTTTCTTCTGCGTCCAAATCTCCATTCACGCTTATGGCTCCTCAAAAGAAAACGGTTAACCCACGAGTTAGTCACTACCCAGATGGGAGGTTAGGGCACTCACCAGTATCCATATCAATATCAAACAAGCCATCTTCGTTTCCTTGTTCGATGGTGTACATTAAATGGCCACCAACACTACTTGCAGCTTTCACTTTGGTGATCTACAAGGCAAAACAACTTATATTTTGAATTGAAGTAATAGAACGAGACGGTAAAAGCATACAGAATAAGAACCAATACTCAAAAATGAAGATGAAGAAAATCAAAAGGGGGAGAAATTGTTATACTTTACAAATATAAAATTTATAACCTTTTTTGGGAGAATTACGACCGTCCTCATTTGATTAGAAACCAACGGATGAAAATTGGAGTGATTATGTGCCTACGAATACTCACGATTGTATTTCTTTTCGCTGCTTCGGAAACGCTTGCACTATATTGCTTCTTGGAGAAAATCGGTCTTGCTTTTTCCACGACTTCCACGCGAACGACTGCTGAACTTTTTTGTGGAGGCTCACCTTAAATACATTTTGTGTTCAATTGAAGCACTTTGACTAGTAACACAATTACCTTGGTCCGTGGCTATGACTTCAAAAGTGTAAACTTTGGCATCGGTCAGCTTTCCTCCTACAGTAATCTTTCCATCATGTTTGTTCAGCTTGAAAATCTTCGGTAAGGAATTACTATGGTAACGCACGATTCCGTTCATTCCTAAAGGCAAAAAGTCAATCCACACCGCAGGCGATAAGCTGCAAACATACCAATATCCTTGTCCACTGCTTTCACAGTTATGATCTTGTCCCCAAGTGCGGCATCAGAGCTGACGACGACGTCGTAGGGTAAACCAACAAATATGGGAACGCAGTCATTGACATCATCTATTCGAATGGAAACAACAGTCTGGGCCAGCTGTGGTTCTGATTCATGGGTACGGGCCTAAAAACATGTAGAAGCAGGGTAGAAGGAACGCGTCACTTTTTAAAAATATCATTCGATCCACTGATTTGAGAACACACCTAACAAGAGCACAGGAAGAGGCACTCCCTTAATTTACCCAAAGAATTCTGTCGGTCGACCTTTTTGCACCACTACAGTATGCTGCAACAACGGTTGCGCCAGTAAAACGCGTACTTGTCGCGGCATGATGTTGAAAATTACTATTCGAGATAATGTTAGATTTGAAATGAAAACTCTGGTATAGCAGGAATATAATCCGATACACGCAATAGTCAGGTTATATTGTAATCAGGATTATATTGTTTATTATATTTCGTGTTTAACGGTCTTTTGGTACTACTACAGTATGCTACCGTACGCTACCGTGTTGTTGCGCATGATTTGAGAAATGATTACACATGACATGACTTTTATTTTAGGCAAAAATAGCGCAAAATGTAGTTTTGAAATATCACTGCTTATCAAAGACGTCACACTTCTACGTTGCGTATTACGGTAGCACTATTAGCGGTCAAAAGGTTCCCAGTCAGCGCGTTATTCTTCAGTCAGGCACATGTATTATGAAGCAAAACCCTACCTGTACCAGCAGTCGCACAACAGGCTCCGCTTCTCGATCGAATTGCTTCCCAGTCAGTGCTATCATTCCAGTGCCTTCATGTATAAACAGCTCTTCTCGCTCGTTCAGGATACTGTAGGTAACACTAGCGCCTTCTGGTGCTCCCACTGCCGTAACCTGCAATGAGCAGCTTTTATCCAATTCTTGCGGTAGAGAAGAGTGTTAAATGTGTAAGGGAGTCCCCAGCCCTTGACTTACCGCAATCAAAGACTCTCCCATAGCGTAAGACGTATTCTCCTTTACACTTCCATGGTACTCAGTCTGTGGAAATCTGAACCCGGAGCTCTTCTCGGATGTGTTCTTTACATTCACGAAAACAGGAACCGAAGCTGTATGAACGCCATCAGAAGCCAAAACGTCCAGCTAAATTCGAATACGACATTATGAAGGGATGGGTCGTTGAGTTTCACAATGTTTGCTTTAGAAATTTACCTTATAGCTGTTCTCCTTGAAGAGTTTAGTGTTATCAGTCTGCAAAGTGATCGCACCATCAGTGGAATTGATTGCGAAGATTTTAGATACATCATTGCCCTGAAAAAGATAAATTTGACCATAGTAGACGATAAAAGTAACCATGGAAACACACCTTGATCGAATACCGTAGCTTTCCTACAGTATCTGCGTCTTTCGCTATTGGCTTAGCAACAATTGTGCCGGCTACAGTAGGCAAAACGAGGTCAACGTCATATTGTTTTTGAGTAAAAACCGGTTTTTCATCATTAGTATCGATGACAGACACTATGATCATTGCCGGAATTGGGGATGTTCTCCTTGGTTCACCCATATCGCTAAAAAAAGGCACTTCATAAGTAGAACAAGGGAACGAAAGAGACTAACCTAGCTTGCACGTAAAAGATCCACTCTTTGATTTTCTCATAATCCATTGGCTTCCGAGTTCGAATTGCTCCGGTGACAAAATCCACGACAAAGTAAGGCTCATTAGGGTTAAGTAGGCGATAACCGACCAGAGCATTGGGACCGACATCTTTATCAGTGGCTGCTACCAATAATGGCGAGTTATCAGCCAGCGAAACAGAAGATCCTGGAAAGAAAATTATCTAAATTTCTCTATTCTATTTGAGATCGCCAAAATAAGAGACAAGCTTACCACTGGGGCTATTCTCCCGTATAAATCCTCGATAGACTTGCTGTTTGAAGATCGGCGAGTGCTGGTTCGTATTTGATGTTTTGATGAGAACCTATGAATAATCAAGAATTGCATAGCAATAGGGGAACATAGTGACCAATTTGGCACAAATGGTCAGTAAGATCCAGCTTTGGATGATAGTTCCAGAAATCATGATCATTTTTATAGACTTCAATTTGAAGCTCCCAATAATCAAAAACTTTTGAGAAGCGAGAAATCTGCGAAAATGGATGGTAAATCTCCCTTCGTTTTGGTTTCGTGAGTGGGACACCTTCCTTTTGTGAAAGCATGCTTTCTGAACATTTTCCAACAACAATCGTTTTTTTTAGTTTTTAACAATGTTGATGGATTTTTGAAGTCATCTCCGGCTAAGAAAACTGCCAGTCAATTACTATCTCATTTCATACCTTGCTTCCGCGCCCTTTACCGTTGCCTGTTCCAGGAAAGGGAGGGGGGAGTATTTTTACAAAAAACCGTTAGGTTTAAGACTCTAATTCTCACCTTCGTCGTGTCCTCTTCTCCGGCTCTGTTCCTGGCTATTACCGTACATGCGACACTTTTCGCTCGTTCTTTCGTTAGCCAACGTTTTAATGTCACGGCTCCAGAAGCCTAAACATTGGTTTGAAAGGAAGAGTGTACAGTAAGCCTTGGGGCCAAACTTACCGCATGCACATCAAAATGCGGACATGGCTTCTTCATTCTGTATCTTGCTACTCCATTAGGTTCGGTTGACACCACAAGCAGTACTGATCCCAACGCTGTTGTGTCTCGCACTGTTCTTTGATACAGCTCTCTGCAAATGAGGAATTTTATGCAGTGTCCGCTTCACCTGAAAGAAGATGTTCCCTACCTAGTGAATCTGAATCCATGACCACTGTAGGTATCTGTCCGAATTTTGACATTTGCCATATCACTGAGCGGGTATTTACCACCATCAGTTGCACGTACGGTCAGGATTGACTCAGTATGATGTGAAGGGAGAAGTTTGGCAAGGCTAACAGTTCCAAGCACTGGATCTAGCGAGAAGAAGCCAAGTTCGTTGCCTGAAGACAATATTTTGAAAACCAAGATTTTTATTTTCCCGGTGAACAAACAGTTCGATACCATATTCCTACAAAATATTAATTTTTGACTCACCACTGATAATGCTGTACTTCACCATTCCATTCTCTCCAGAGTCAGCATCATGAGCCAGGATAGTGACAAGCGGATATCCGACGGGTGATCTAAAAAATGATCTATACCATTAGTCGCTTTCTTGTACGGTAAGAGGTACGGTTTGAGGTGGAGTTAAACTCATTTTTTGACCACAAATAAATGTTATGAGTCACTGTTTGCGCTGACTTAGCTAAACCTCCCCTCAGAACTTGACAGGTTTTAAATACATTTTTAAATACAACCGGTCACTACACATGTATTAACTAAATTGGTTTGAATTCCAATAACATGCAGGAAGAAGAGATGACCCTTTTGCACCGCTACAATAGGCTATCGTTTACGCGCATTTCTGCGTGTTGCTGCTATCGCATTGTCACAAACCAACTTTTGTGGAATATCTCCCTTTCCCAAGCCTGAAACGCCGCAGAACTACCAATGCCTGCTTCAGGGGACCAGAAGTACTCTAGGAATACGGTATAACCCAAAAGGGCCAAGTTAATCAGCAAACTCCTTGTTATTCAAGTAATAACCTAGGAATAATAATATGCATAAACGGCCGTACCTCAGTGGCAGAGTAACCGCATAGTCCTTGTGAACAAATCTTGGTGCATTATCGTTATCATCTGTCACTGTCACCGTCAATGTGACATAGTTGGTGAGTGTTCCCTGACGGGCATAGATAATCGCACGAATTTCACGACAAACTTCATAATCGAGTGATTCCATGATGAGCACGTTTCCAGTCCTGAAAACATAGAAGAAATTTCTTAGCAGTTTAAGAACATCAGCAGCGTCCAGAGCTGCCCGTGCGCCAGCGCTGTGCGAAATCATGCCGGGATTTTGATCGATCAGTACGGGGCACGTTCACGCATGCATATTGATCGATAGCACGACGCTGGAACAGTGCTGGCATGGCTCCAGCACGGCGTTGGAACGGCGCTAGCACCAGCAACTGACAGAGCCTAATAAATAGATAAGCTTACGTTGGCTCCACACGCAGCTTGTCCTCCATGTTGGTGTCCTCTACCGAATGGATACCGTATACTAGTGGTTTCACTGCTTTGCCTGATCCATGCGGCTTTGCTCGGACGGTATAAATCGGGGTGCCAACTGCAGTTTTCTCCGAAATCTGTGTTTTATAATGTTGTGCCGAAAACTGAGGTCGAGTTATGGGTGAGCGTGAGACTTCAACGGCAATCTGAAAAAATTTATTTCACTTTCAAATAGGGCTGCAACCTGAGGTAAAACTTGCCTCAGATGTCGCATTCAGTTGCCCGTCGGTGATTTCAATCGTCAGCACGATGGAAGTGACATTCCGAGCTAAGCTCTCGATAGGTTTAGCCAGTTGAAGGAGGCCGCTGTCAGGTCTTAGGGCGAAGGTCTCATTCACATTTCCTCCAACGATGCTCCACCAAATTGGGTCTCCATCTGGATCCACGGCTTCAATCTTGGCGATAGTGAATCCGACCTGAATGCCGAATACTTAATTTCCACATAAAAATTGAATCCAAGAAAAATACCTGGTCAGCATCCGAGACGGGAATTTGCCTTCCATCGTTCTTTCCAAAGCTAGGAGCTTGATTTTTAGCGTCTTTCGTCCTCTGAGAAAGTGCTACAGCGGTGAGAATTGCCCGGGTTTGGGTCATTTGAGCTGGTAAACCTCGATCGGTGGCTTGGATCGTGAGAGTTACCACCTTAAAGTTTAGCGGTTGTAAATTACCGGAGCTGAAAATCGTTGCAAAAAACTATATCCTCTACTTTGTTTCAGAATGTTCCAGAAACACATGTAGTTTTTCCTTCCTTTCTTGAGAATAGGTCAAAACCGTTGAAACCTAACCTCATCGGCCTTCAACGGCACATTCGTCGAGATATAGCCACTTTCATCAATAGTAAACCTCGAATCTCCGTCAGTGATGTTATAAAACAACTCTGCGTTCTTGCCTATATCCACGTCACTCGCAAAAACCCTAGAAAACCACACATTACCCCATTCTAAAAAAATACATTACTTACCTGCTCACAACTCCAGTAACACCAGCGGGAACATTGTAATGGTAAATCGGTTGTGAGAATGTGGGAGCATTGTCATTCACATCATCTACGCTGACTATCACAGGGACTGATGAACAGAGCTGGGGTTCTCCGGAGTCACAAATGGATACCCAAAGCTCATGTTCTCGTTGAGTTTCCCGATCCAGGCGACGAGATCCGGAAGTGGTGATATAACCTAGAAGGGATTTATCTCAGGGAAAGGTTCCATTGGGGAAGGAGATGGGATGGAAGTTTTCAAAACTCACCCGTATGCTGATCAATCCTGAAGAAGCTCTGTGGATCACCTTGAGAGATCTTATATCGCAGCGAAAGCGATGATGAGTCTTGGTTCACATCGTCTCCATCGGTTGCATCAATCTTCACCAAGACAATGTTCTAAAACTGGCAACATAAAATCATGCAAGTAGAGCCGGGAAAAGGAAATCACAATAAACAAACCTGCGGTGAGTTCTCCTTCACACTGGCATGATAGATTGGCAACTGAGGCACAGGACGATGATCGTTCTTATCCAAAACTCGAACAAATACATGTAGCACACCAGTTTTTGGCACTCGACTTTGTGGACTGTCATTAGCTTCTACTGTAAGCCAGTAAGTGCTTTGTTCTTCACGGTCTAGCACTCGAGATGTTCGGATGGCTCCTAAAATGGATACTGAAGCTTATTCAAAAATATGGAAAGCAAGTTAAGATCCGATTTTTCTTGAGTGCTAAGAACCAGTTCGACAGCTAAAAATGATTCTAATCGATTGTTTATTACACATTTTTTATAAGAAAAAAGCAAAATAAGAAGATGAGCGTGGGAATGATAATTACTGATGAGTTTCTTTTTCGTCTCGAATGCTAATTTCATATTTTTCAATAAATGGAGCATCTAACGGGTACTTACTTGTTGCTGTACCCTTTTTGCAATATCTTCCAGAAAACTTTTATGGAGGGATCCAGAACAACTAGAGTAGGATCTCCCATCATTATTCTTTCATGAGAAAAAGAAAGATACAGCAAATGTATGGTTATGTGTTTGATGTGTATACCATATATGCAAGAAAATGCTCTTAGAATTATTTCAAGTTAAGAAGATTCCTGAGGCATGATTGAATATTTTAGATTTTTCCCTATATTTCTTGGACATTTTCTACACAGTCCGGATTGAGTTAGACGTTCATTTTATGATTCTTTCTTCGTGCTCAAATTTTTCTTCATTTATCGCTTTTGCCAACTCCCATTCCTAGCAAACTCTGACCTCTTCGCCAATATCACATTCCAGCACCACAAATGTGACATCTTTAACCGTTTATGGTCCACAATTCTGATTTACAACCCCTTTGAGACACGATGGCCGGCGCGACAGCATTTGGCCTCTTCATCCCGTTCATTATTCGCCCCGTCGCAGCATGATTAATTAGCTCGTAGCCGGCTGGTATATACAAAGAGAGTAGCAAATAGAATGGGGGGAAATTGAATGTGGGAGATTAGCTTTTAATGTATTTACCAAAGCATAAACGGGGGACGGAGGTAAGTGCACATTTGGGAGCTAATGGAGAGGGCGAATTTGTTAGTTGGACACAAAATAGTCATTTATCTTAGTACAGGCTTACCCCAAAAATCCCTTCATCCCCGGAACTAGGTCGCCCTAAACCTTACCCATTACCATAACAGGAACCCGATCCTCTCGAACCCGACAACCGATATCCGGGGCCTCAACACCTTCTTACGCTCCATCTGTCACATTAGCGACATTAGACCTAAATCTTCTGTGCACATGAAAACAAGCACCACCCGGGCAACACCCTAATTAAGCCATCAGATGATTATTGATTAGTTGCGCGTGCATACACGATGTCAAAACAAGGAAATGAATAACGGGGTTTGTATGGGTTAAATCGTACAAAGCTACCTATCTAGCCTACCTACAACCATCTATGGCAATTTTTTAGGATAATCGTTGTTGACCCCCCGTCCGCGGAACAATGTGCACGGGGGAACAAGGGCATCAATTATCGTTCACCGACCACACTTGACTGAACATCGGAGACCTTTCTGAGGTTCAAAATTTGCCGCCACGAAACTCATTGACATTCACCAGCTTGGAGCCAGCGAAAGTTCCACAAAAAGGGAAATTTCTATGACCTTCCCGTACGCTCAGAAATGAGGCGTAAAATCTCAGACATTCAGTGCAGTTTCACTATCATAATTAAAATCATCGAACGCATCGAACTGCAAGAATTTGATGAGAATTTCTTCCGATAATATTGCGATTATATAATCCCACATCAGCAATTTCCCATCATTCACATGGGAATCGAACGGTTCGAAGGTAAATAGGCCACTAACGATTCCCCCGTAGCCGTAATGTCCCTGTTTTCCCCATATCCATTGGCACCATTAGGCAATTTCCGTGTGGGGAAGCTTGTTTCCCGTCAATAAATGTTTTTCATAGCCATAAATAACATTAGCGCCATATAAATTGCTGTTTACCGATTTAATAGGTCCAATTATCATTCTATAGCGATTGGTGAAGTTCTGCAATGCACGTAATTCCCCGGCTTCCTGCCTTTACTTCCTCCCCTCCCCCCTCCCCCAAAAGAAAAGGTTGAAAACCCCTTGAAGGTAGCTACACAGTCATGAAATACATGCATGTAACTTTTCAAAATTATGAGTAGTAAAAAATTATAGCTTTATAATGACTCAAGTTAGCGTTGCACAGCCCAAGTCACGCCCTTTCACTCTAAAATTTGTTGCAAATTTGCAAAAAAAAGTCGGAAATTTTTTGTGAAATTTCTATAGGATGGGCTACACGCCGCTTCATTGGAAAATAGTCGCATTACCTATGCACGAGACCTTTCAAAAATGAAACCACACACTCCTCTGTACATGAAATGAATAAAAATACTGAATTTCCAGAAAATAGCATTTCTGAGAAATTTTTAAGCTCTAGAAAATTTTCTAAAGTAGACGAGAAGAAAGATCCAAAAAAAACTTTCTTCTTTCACTGCAAACCAGACGTAAGTTTACCGTAGGTCCAACACGAAGGTGCAATGGAAATACGGTATTTCCAATCAAATTTCCAACTTTTTTCATTTGAAATTCAAAACTATACCCCATCTGATGCTGCATCTAGCTATATCGCCTTTTCTTCCCCCCCCCTCTTCCCCCCCCCCTCCTTTCGCGATCCCTTCGGCACAACAATTGGCTTTGCCTCAAGCATAAACATGCACGCGAAATGCGCGAAAGCCCCATATCTGGCTAGAGTTCATTAGCATTTCTTGAATTCGAGGCCATTCATAAATGTCCAAAGATACGCCGCGCTAAGAGGTCCAGAGCCTATTCAGTCGCTCGCTATGTCTCATTTCAGACAACAAGTGACCCCTCTGGGGATTTGGACCCTCTCAATAACCCCCGCAGCAATGTGAAGCAGTAAGCGGAAGGTAAAAGGTTACCTGAAGAGTCGATGGCAAAGTAGGCAATGCCAGTTCCTCCCACGATGTTGTAATCGACAATTCCAACAGGGTTATCTTGATCTACAGCTTTGACAGTGATGACTTCTGTACCAACTGGCATGTTCTCTGAAAAAAGTGTGATTATCAACACAAGGAAGGGATAAAAAAAATGGACAAATAAAGTTTCATGAATTTTGTGCTTTCTATGAAACTCTTTCTTGTAAACAATTACTGTTCAATCAGTTAATTAACACAGACACTCAGAGTGCATCAAAGAATTTTGAGCAAACATTGAATTATTAGAATTATGAATCACGATTCTAAGCCTCAAGAAACTGCCTCTTGTAGAAGCAAAGGCGTAGAAAAACTCCGAAACACAACTGAGACCAATCCCCCCCCCCCTAAATGGCTTCGGAATTTCCCATAGTAGTCTAGATCAGTTATCAGTGGAATTTACTTCACTTGTAAAAGAACTGATTTTGCACGGGGAGTTTCGGGAACATTTCTGAAAAACCGTACTGGATAAAAACGTAGAAATGCAATGTACGATAGGTACACGGTTTGCTCAATCAGTGAATGGGGGTTTTAACTGTTCGGAATTTTATAAAACTCAAATCTTCCTTACCATAAACGCTAGCCTCCAACGCTACATCATCAAACTCTGGCGGATGGAGATTCTCATCCACATCTTCCAACTCAACCACATATGAACAAGTTGTGCTCAGAACAACTTCTCCGTTATCGGCTACCTAAAAACACCTCCTCTGAGCAATTTTCACTTCTCCCACATAAGTCCCAGGATAAAAGTCCTCACATCTATGGACAGATTATACACCGATTTCCGCTGAAAATCTAGTGGTTGATGCGGTGAGTGGATAAAAACGCATCCAGTTCGATGATCAATCTTGAATGGTGGCGCTAGTCCGTTTTCTTCTGGCTCTAGGGAAAACCTAAGACGAGCATTTGGTCCAATGTCAGGATCGGTTGCTGCGACACATCCGACAAGTGCTCCATCTGGATAGTCTTCGGGAATTCGGACCTCAAATTATCTCTGTTGAAAACTTCTCAAGAGAATCAGGATTACTGTAGCTTACAGTAGTGATCGGCTCGATACAAAAAGGTGCATTGTCATTGACATCGTCGACTTCAATGGTTAGATTTACGGCCGAGATTTGTGATGGCGCACCGTGATCAAATGCGATTACGGCATGTCTGGCAAACGAGTACAAGTATACGACCCTGCTCTGGTAAGGCAGACAACATCAAAAAAGGCCTACCGTAACACACTGTTAGCCTCTCTATCCAGAGCTTTGATCAGTGTCAGGTGTCCGGTCTTCTCATCAACTTTCAGATGGTCATCTTCACCTCCAGCTAACCGATAGCCAACTTTTGCATTATCACCTCCATCATCATCGGTAGCGGTCAGTTTCAGCAATACCGTTCCAACTTTGGTGTCTTCGCTGACATGGAGACGATACCAATGCTGAAAATTATAGTATTACTACTAAAGGTAAAGTAGTAAAGTAAAACGTGCTGTAAAGAATAGTGAATTGCGTAAAAGAAAAAAAATTTCAGCAGGTCCTTTTCAATCTTCCATCAAAATCACAATAGTGCGACTGTCCAAGATTTGGTGTTCAGTCAAATTTGGGTATTTTATTTTTGTAAGAATTGTTTAACGCTACAACTAAGTCAATGCTCAAGCGGCAGCTCATATAATTCATTCGTGACCTAGAAATTCAAATTTAGGCTCTCGCCCAGTATACCGTACTTAATTCAGTATTATTCAAAGTGTACGATATGGGCGAGAGTTTGGAACTGGATTTCTGGGCCAAAAATATAGCACATGGGCTGCCTCTTGGATAGTGGGCCTAGCCAAGATCTCCCAATAAGTATCCAGAAAAGCCCCGGTTTTCAGAACTTTTCTGGACAACTTTTCAAAATTCCGCCAACTTGTACATCTCAAACCCCGTCAACGATTCCGATAAGTACCTACTACTCAAGGAACCAGCGCAGGGACACATTTGACGCGTTATCTTGGCGAGAAATCGCCTAATCTTTCGCCCACCACCCATACATCAAATCAGCGCCATGGCTATGAGGTCGAACACATTCCGCAAATTAATGACTGGCAAAGAGGATTCTTCGGACACAATCGTAATCATGTAAATGGGGAATAGATGTTCGTGAGATTCTTCGCGATTCTAGGACATCGTTGAAATGAGGACGGATATAATGATGTCATTGGCAACTTTGTGTCTGAATTTACACACCTCACGCTTCTTTTTACACCCCAATTAGAAGCAGTCATAAATTTCGCTTGTAACGCTTCAATGAAATATTGAAAGAATGTTTATTTACACTTTTTTTGGTTTTTTGTTTGTCATTTTTGGTCTGTAAACTGGCAATTGCAAAAAGCAGCGCTGTGAAAAGTAGCGCAGTTTGCAGGACATAGTGTGCATTAGCACACAACCCACAATCGCGCAAAAGAATCTAGATTCACAAAAGAGAAGTAATGAGTTTATTTCGTTACACTTTCAAGTCCAGCTTTCTACGACAACACATCAGATCCTAGAAATAATGGGCGAGGACAACTACCGCATTTTCCGCGCAGATATGTGTTGGTGTGCAATTGCACAAATAATCAACAAAATCCATCAGCATTTGAACTCCATTCCCAGAATAGGGGACTATACGTCAAAACATTGCTCAACAGGTTCAAACTTGTTAATCAAGGTTTTTTCGCATAATGTGTGCAACTGCACATATTATTGTAAGAATTGCTCAACTATAGACTGCTACACGACCATACTGACGCCAAGAAATCCTTGAAAAGATATCCCCACTGAAAATGCGACATTTGCCCACTATCCTATATGACAGCAGCCTTTTTTACCCACCCTGCATAGAGGCTTTTTACATATTTCCTGCGTTTCAGTACCCAAAATAGAAAATTATTAATAATCCGCCATTCATCTTTTTTATCCAACATTCATCTCCATTAGCTCTAATGTCGACTTTTACGTCTGCATAGTTGAGCAAGTGATGGATGTTGGCCTAATAGAAGGATTATACTAAGCACACTATGCACCAGGTCATTAGTCAAGAGTAAAGAACTATAGCTGCAGAAAAAAGAAAAGTATAGACTAAAAGTGCAAGAAAAAGGAATTTTCTTGCGCATGCAGACAAATACATCATCTTGTCATTCCTGGTACATTCTCGGCTCATTCTGCCATTTTCCTTGCTACCCCCGAGCCCTTCGCCCCCGCATCTGTTCCTCGTAAGGAGCGGTCGGATACCTGAGATGAGAGATACGAGACGCTCGACCTCTCCGTTCTCTGGCATCGTGTGGCCATTGAGTCAATCCATTAGCTAATTACGCATAAGGGTACTAGGGGAAACATTACGGGCGATGTACTAAGTACGTAGGAAGTCTTGGAGAGAGATGGAGTGCAAGAGGATATAACGTATAACTAGTGGTATCTACAACGGTTAAGAAGAGTAAAACCAGAGAAAAACGAAGTTTAGCCAATTTATAATGCTAATATGTGTGACACACAAAACACACATTGTGTGTAACATCCTGGTTTTGGTTTATCATTAGGATACATGTCCGAGTAAGTGGTTTTTAGCGTTCTCTTCGTTCTTGAGGGATATTTTTGTGATTTTGGTTTATATTTATTGTCAGAGTTATTCTGATAGAAGGATTTGGTGTTTTCTACCATCAATAAATTTATTTTTTGCTAATTCGTACGATGCTGATTACATGATGAAGCTTGCACATTTTTCATAGATTTTCCAAAGTGCGCTTAATTTTTTTGTTTTTTTTTACTTTAACATTTTTTATAAATTCCATGGATATGTTTTGAATTTAGTAGTGCTTGATGAAAATTTGAAATCAGTCAATAACTATTATTATTTGATGGTCCTTGTTTTTCTGAAGCATCGAGAAACATTCGGCGAGAATTTTCTATATATTTATGATGGAAATCTAGGATGGGACGCGCAACTGATGCACAGTGTGCGATCGCACATATTATAATTGAAAATGACCAACTGTGGCAGGAACTTGATAGTAGAATAGGTGCATGTGCGGCACCAATACAACAATAGAGAAGTAGTTATTGAAAAATTTATAATTAGAAAATGTTGCGCGTAAAAATACCCCCTTTAGAAGACTACAGAGGAGAAATAGTGAAAATAATAATAATTCTATATAAAATAGAACATAAAAGTAAGATAGGAATCTTGTATGGCCGTAAAAATTTTTTTACATAATGACCAACCTCTTGGAACTGCGGAGCATGATTATTGACATCTTCTATTAGCACTTTCACCGTCTTCTTCGTGCTCTTCCTTGGTGTTCCCTCATCCGTAGCAATCACTTCCACATCTCGACTCAGCATTTTCACACCAGGTGTCAACAATTCCGTCAAATCTCCTGCCACTGTCATCACTCCCGTCTCCGGTTCAATCGCAAAATAATCATCCCACATCGAATACCGTACTCGTCCACCGTATCCAACATCTTTGTCAGTAGCAGTGATTACAGCAATGGCCTGTAATAACTATAATAGCCCTTAAAATCATCTCAGAACCTCTTGTGCCTACAGCTATCGCCTGTAATAACTCTAAAAGCCCTTGAAATCATCTCACGAATCTGTTCTCCATTCAAAATCATCTCCGGAAACGGTAACATTGCCTCGATGATTACTTGACCCTGACAGTGCCTTTGTTCTGGCGGGGGTCGGGTAATAAAACACAGCGATGCTCTGCGCATGTTACTGTTCCTACTAACCATCTGGCATACATACTCGTTCGCTACCGAACACAATACCATACAATCGCCAGGTCAACACGGACGAGCATTGTGATACTCAAGTGATTAGCACAAAAACGAGAACGCACCGTGCCTATGTCGACATCTTCCCGAATTTGGATGGGTGCCTTGAAATCGGCAAATTTGGGAGCATGAGTGTTGCTTGGCTCAGTGCCAACAACAGGTTTTGGCTTTGGTGGCACCTAAAATTATAATTTAGAAACTTTTACAAAAACGATGAGCAAAAAAGCAGGAACTAAATGACAAATGTGATGAAAATCATGAAGAATTTGCTCGGAAAAAGTTTTGAAAATGAGAAAAAAATGAACAGTAAAGGTAATGAAGAAAGTTTTTCTTACTTTCGTTCCATTCCGATAAAACACCAAATTAAGGAAAGCAGATCTTGGCAATGGTTTCCCAGCATCTACGGCCCATACAGTAACGTTCCAGTCATTTTCATCCTTTCCCAATTTTCTGGTCAAAGATATCTGAACAAAACTGCTTTACTACCAACGTTAGACAAATAAAAATTCAAACCAAACTCTGGAATAAAAATGTGGAGGTAAACAAGAAAAACGTAAAAACAATGGAGATTACTTTAAAAACTTTACTAAAAAAATCTGTGTTTCCTGTATTTTAACTAATCTGTAAAATCAAACAATTCCAAACACAAAAATTTGGAGTCATCAAAATAATGAGTAAGAAAAGGAACATATAAACTGACCTCTCCAGTTTCAAAGTCTACTGAAAAGGGCACATTGGAATCTGATGACAGTTTGTATCCTATGCGAGCATTCTCTCCAGAGTCCAAGTCCAGTGCATCCACCTAAAAACACAGATATTGATTTAATGGGCCAAACATAATAGCAACTTCGATTTATTAAGGAAAAAAATTGAGCTAAAATTCAATGAAGCAGTCTTGTCTTACCTTGAGGACAACTGTTCCTACAGCAGTATCACTAGATACCGCGATCGGTCCCTGTCGCATCCATTTAGCAGACCATAAGGGTGAATGATCGTTCGAATCTTTCACGAATACAGTAACCACTTGTGAACTTTGTCCTCCAAATCCAGCCAACTGTAACTAATATTCCAATATTCATAAATGTTCAAAGATGTAATAGTAAGCAAAGTACCTTCGCAAGGATGTTGAAGCTATATTCTCTTTGAGTTTCGTAGTCTAGTTCCTGTGATACCCGAATAATACCCGACTTTTCAGAGATTTCGAATGGAACGGTTGTGTTTTCTCGCAATTCCAAGTAGTACCTAAAAGGCATTATTAGATCAAAGGACAATCAAAGGACGAAATCTCAAAAAAAACCAGGAAGTATCGGACAAAAAATTAGAACATAAAAAAACACTTTTACAAAAGTGTATATCATTAAAATGTTAGATATCATTCAGTCATTAAAAAGGTCAGAAGAGGACACAGATAAATAAATAAAAAACTGAAAATTCAAGATGTGCAGAAAGGGAAAATATTAGACTCAAAAAAACACAGGTACGAAATAATCTACGACTCGGAACGGATAGAAAACTTCGCCAAATTAAAAAAAAACCAGAAGTATAAAAAAATCGAAGTACTGAAGATTGAAACAACATTTATGTAATTTTTTCAATATTTTGACATGTATATCTACTTTAATTTTTCCAAAAATATCAGAAACCAGAATCTCAACCTCACCTAATATTTCTCTCATCTTTTTTGTACATTGCACTAGCAGCTACACGTCCAATTACATATCCTAATGGAGCCGATTCGTTGACATTGAAAGATGTCGTTGACTCATCAAAAACGATCGAATGTGGTTCGCCGACTTCGATCTGAAATTCATCACCATAAAAACAATGTCCTTCATCGAAGCTTCTTCTGCCTACTGCTTCTATATGATTTGCGATGACCTCTAAAATGCTAACGCCAGCCTATTTTCTCTGATTTTCGTATGTTTTGGGTTGTTATATAGCCGAAGTGTTATCCACTTCAGCAGAGAGTTTTTCTACACATTAAACACGATGTCGGTGGAGGTCACCTTGATGTTCGCCGTCGTGTTGATCATACCACTCAACGGGTGCTCTTGTCCAGCCGATATGGTGACATTCGTCTGTTGTGGGATGAGTCGACCAGGAATCTGCAAATAAACACCATATTCTCGGGTAAGAGCTCTTTCGTGGAAATTGATTGAAAAGCCTTAACTAAGCTCGTGATGAATCGGCAGCTCATATAGTAGTGCGAAAGAATCAATTCTAAACTCTCGCCCATTACCGTACTCTCAGTGACCAATCAAATCCTTAAGTACGGTAGTGGGCAAAAAGTTAGATGCAAGCCTCTGAACCAACAAAAAAAGCCATATGAGCTGCTTATGCGAAGCTATCCAGTATTTTCTAATCTGTTGAAAAAAATTGGCAAAGCTTCCTATCACTATAGATAGTGCTCAGTTCTAGCGCTGGGGAAAATCATAAACGACTCAAGAATATACTTTACTAGAGATTATCTATTGATGACAAAAATGTTAGACTTCTCAGGTGATGTTGATCTTTACACGAGTTTGTGAGCTCGGAAAGATTACGGTCCAGGCGAGGGTTCAGAGTGATTTTCTCACCACAAGTAAATTGCGTAAGATGCCATTTGGGAAGCTTGAGGACTACCAGTCAGTATTTAAGTATTTAGATATGAAGCTGAGGTACCTGGGTTTGTAACGTTTTTAAGTAAAATAAAGGTAACAAATTACGTTAACAAAATGACATTTTGATTTGGCATCTCTCTTCTGTTTTTGATTTTTTCAAAATTCAGTACCATGCCTGAATAAACCCAAAACTTACCGTATACAACTGCCACTCCAGCCTTCCGCTTTCTCTCAACGAAAACCAGTGTTTCAAGTCGTCCTCGACAACATCTAGATGAATCGGTCCTCCTTGCTCGACCTCATTTGGCGGTATATCAACTCGTATAACAGCCGCTAGTTGTTCGATGTCAGAGCGGTATCCATTGATCAGTTTATTGGCGACGAGAAGTTTCAGATGACGCCGCTTTGATTCGGTCACTGTTATCTGGAATGCATTGGACTTTGTACTAGGGAAATTCTTCGACCTCAAACAATAAAGAGAAAGAAGTTAGGAACAAGTTTGATAAATTTCTAAATAAAACTAAAAAAACGAAAAAATTTCCAAACCTGGCCTCAAACAATTGCATGCATACAAATACATTGAGGCTTTTTTTAGATTTTTACATTTATTTATTTATTTTTCTATTTATTTTCTGCATCGAAAGTGGCAGACATTGGTTTTAAAAAACTTTGAGAAACATGCGATTCCGTCATGTTGTTGTGTTGTAAATGTTGATTGATATGAATACTCAAAAAGGCTTTGTTTACAGGAAAATACCGTGACCTCTTGTCTGAAAACATGGAAAATTGAAAACGCTAGAATAAATAATAGTGGAAAAAATGGAAACCTGCAGGTAAGATTGCGATTTCCTACTTATTTGAGTGACAGGAATGGAAATTTCAAACTTTTTCAATACACGTTGGAGAAACGAGGAAAGAACTCTAGGAAAAATTTTTTCAGAATACAAAAATCGTCAAGGTGCTAATAGATCTACAATTGTAGATCAAATGAGAAGACATGAAAATACAACATATTCATGTGGAACTAATATGGAAAAAGAAGAAAGATTCTGAATGACAAATTGTTTGAGGATGACGTATGGACCCACCACTACATCCTTGGTCCATGCAGGTTGTATCTGATCCGGATCATTATAAAACAGTCTCGATGTTCTATCTTCTGATCGTACTTGTAACTTATAAATGCCACCATGCAAATGCTTTAACGTGCGAATCCATCCTATAATTAGTAAAAAAAAATTCATTTCAGACATTTTTCCCCACTGATCTTCATTATCCCACCAGTAATAGGATCCACAGTAAATTCCGCTGATCGATTCACTAATGAATAATAGATCTGCCCATTGATCCCTTCATCAGCATCCGATGCTTCGACACGTATCACATCAGAAAACGGTGCAAGCTGAAAAAATAAACATTGGCGGATAAAAAACGGGTAAAAAACTACAATTTCATGGCCAGCTCTAGCCTTACCTGATCGCTAATTGTCGCTTCATACTGATCCGCTTCTAATGTGAAAATTGGCATCGCATCGTTACGATCAGTTATGGTAAGGTGTACTTTTGCTGTGGCCTCGAGGTTTCCCGCTTCTTTTTGCCGACATGTTGCTTTTATTAGAAAATCATAGTGGTCCTGAAAAATTTCAGTTCAAACCCTAGATTACCAGAACGAAAATTAAGAGACAATTTTTTTCATCTTTTATACCTATGAAAAGACAAAAACAAGGAAAATAGAAGAAAGTCAAAGGTTTGTTTTCAAAAAATTTGAAAACTGAAATTGAGAGAAAAACAAAGTTCATGCCAAATCTATCTAATATAAAAATAAAAATCTTTTTAAATAAAAAGAATCGTTAGCGCAATTCAAAAATGTGCAAATAGCGGGAGCTCCGCGGCGGGCCCCGGAGCGCTCGAATGCAATCTAGCCCCTTCAATTACTGGTTCACTAGTTTGTACATAAAAAACAATGAATGATGTTTTGCGAATTTCCCAAACAAAAAATTTCTCTCAAAAAAAGCTGAAGACTTTTGAGACTTCTAAACGGAAGCTTCCAACCCACTGGAGGAAAATGCAAAAACGGGCAGAATACTAAGGCAGAAAAACTTTGGTTTCGAAAAAGTTCGGAATGAAAGTAAAAGAAAAAAGCAAATGGATGTTAAAAAAAAATGTTAAAATTTCTCTTGTAAGAGACAAAACCAATGTTTTCTAGCATTTTTTTCTTCTTGAAACCACCGAAAAAAGAAAGAAGAATAAACATCGCGACAAAAAGGAAACTGGGGCTCAAAAAAATGAAGATGTTTATTTACAAAAAATGTAAACCAAGCAGAAAAAATATGCGCAGACTAGTCTTGAAAGCCTTGCTTCTCATTGCTTTAGATTGACGTAATCCCCAAGAAATCTCAAGGCTCACAAGAAACTTCCAGCAGAAGTAAACAAACGACGTAAAAATAGCCATGCTAGATGTTAAGAGGTAAGCATCACACTCACTTTGAGCTCTCTGTTCAAAGGTGTGTCCATCCGGTCTTTCTGTCGTATTCGTAAAAACACAAAATCTCCCACTTGACGAGAATGTGCTTTGAAGTGATGTTGTCGGTCTCCCTATGAGAAGGATTAGGCTTTACCAAACTTGTTCGTTAAATAAACATAATGTCTGCTACATTTAACAGTTGGATAGTGCACTTGCGGTGATGACAACATTTGCGCGGGAAAAATGCCGTGCTAAAGAAATGCGGGCGATCTGCGGCGATTTACTCGTGAAAATTGGTAGAGCGCAGATTGCCAGTATCTACGAGCAAATGTTGTCCACAACGCAAGAACACTATATTGACCGTCTAAGAGATTAGACAATAGTGGACTGCGGTAATGACAACATTTGCGCGGGAACAAATGCCATGCTTGTGAAATGCGGGCGACTTGCGGAAACTTGCGCGTGAAAAAATTGGCCATAGAGCTCAGATTGCCGGTATCTACGAGCAAATGTTGTCCACAACGCAAGAACACTATATTGACCGTCTAAAGAATTAGATCATAATGGACTTGCGGTGATGACAACGTTTGTGCGAAAACAATTGCCATGCCTGCGAAATGCCAACAACTTGCTTGCGACTTGCGCATAAAAATCGCGCATTGTCAGTCTTTACGCGCAAATGCTGTCGAAACCGCAGAAACACTACATTTACCGTCAAATACACTAAACTATATAGCAGGACTCACCTCAACGATCTTGAATTTGACAGTGGCATCGCTATGCGGCAATGGGACACCGATTCGAACATGATCGGATGAACGGGCAAATTCCGTTCCAGGAGCATTTTCTTCTAATGATACATTGTACAATTTGGCCGTGAATACAAACGGAATTTGCCGTCGGAGGTCTCGTCGAGCAAATACCGCACTTTCAGCTATTGATAAGAACAGCAACAATAAGTGTCGGCTACCGGGACGCCAACTCATAGCTATGGCGCATCACTCGACCTTTTCGATTTGTGCATAGGTTGGGAGACACTCCGTTTATATAACCATCAATCTGGAATAAGCCGTAAATTGCACGGGTGGAAATTGCACTCGAGTTTTTTTCTCTGCTTCGTGCGAACATCGATCACCGGCTAGGTTGAACACATTAAGGGACAGTATGAAAGCGAGCGAACGACAAGAAAAATCGAGAAAAAATGGAGGCTGAGAAAAATGGAGATGCGTAACCTTGAAAGAACAGAAAAACTTGCAGAAAATGCAAAATACTACTTTGGAAATACGGGGAGCACGGTGAGAAATACATAGCGTAAAAACGTCTGAATAACTCTTGATAATGCCAATGTTTATGAAGTTCGATTAGGAATGTAGTAAGACATTCAAAGAGTTTGAGAAGAATATTTATTTATTTATTTATCAAATACATCGTAAACGATGCATCACCTCAGAAATGAAATACAAACAGACGATTAAATATGGAAGGGGGTGGGAGAAAAAGGCAAGAATGACTTCGAATTTGCTCCCACTTTCGCGTCGTAACCAAGCAAATCATATGATTAATTATTATAAATGAGAGAAAAGCTTGACGAAACTCCGTATTTGGAAAAGTGCGTAAAAACCCATGAAAACGTACTTCCGTTCAATTATAGATTAGCAAAAAAATGTTCTCTAGAATTATAGAAAAGTTAGCACCTTTCCAGCTTCACTTTATTTTCCTAGGTGTCTTTTTTCGTCAATACGCCACGCTCGTTTCGAATGAGACCATTTGGGTAATTTTCTGTCGATCACTTAAACGAGAATGGGGATAATAAATCATCCCACCATCAATTTCACTTCCTGTGGCCTCCTACCTTCGATGAAACATTTTGCAAGGAAAAAAATCGGCATGTGGTGCTAAATCGAGTTGATGAATGGTCGCATTAATCATGGCCGGTGATTTACACCGTCGTGAAAGAAATATGAAAGAAAGCTGCTACGAGCTTGCAATCAGGAAAAGGGAGTTATGATCGGCCAGTGAGCATGTTGAAGACGTTAAGATAGAATCAAGAGTAAAAGTCCTTTGGAAGATATAAGGAGTACTCTCGGACTCCACGACAAGAAGTAAAATAGGACGCATGATAGAGGACATAAGTGGAGAAAAGAGTTTATTTGCCAGATAACAAAAAGAAGAATTTTCAAACAGTACCTGGCCGTTATATAAAAGCTCGTTCAGCCGTGATTTACAGGCGAAACTGAAAAAACGGCTGCTTGAATGCAACAAGGGCAGAATTGCAAAAATAACGTCAATAATATAACGTCAAGTGAAACACTCAAATGTAGCTATCTTACAACACTTAAAAACTGCTAGTCATAACTGCTATCCCAAACGAAAAACTCGATACGATTATAATGCGCCGCGATCAGAGCCTAAGAATTTCAGTTTAGGTGACTGTAACCCCCTTATCGCATACTTCAATACAGCTGAAACAATACCAATATAAATGATCTGAGTGGCACATAACAAGGATAATAAAAAAGAGATTACCGAAATACAACAGCCGAGTAGAAAAAAATAAAGTTTTCAACCAACAGATGCGCAGAAAAAGTACAAGAAAAACATAACAATCAGCGAATTATTTCCTCTAATGAGGCCAAAGCAAAACCCAAAACATGTGAGCAATCATCATACTAAATGATGTGTCAGGCCAATTTGCATGCTTAAATAGAGGAACGAAAAGAGGAACATCTGCACAGGAATGAATACAAGAGCGGCTGACCACTGTTTGTCCACCCCATCCCCCCCCCCCCTTCTCCACGCCAACAGACAATGTAAACAGATAGCCCCTGATCACAGACGCCGCCGAAAAAGATATCGTATCTTTTGGAAGAAAAACCTTCAGCAAACCGCACCTGCCGGGTGGAATTCTTTAGCGATAAGAACAAAGCAGAAGGCGCATTTGACCGTGGGAATGATATGTCATGCGGGAAAGTTCGAACTCTAGCAGATCTAAAAATTCGCGCAAGAATCATAGTTGATTTATAGCTAGGCACTGGAGCAGAAAGCATTCGAGCAGAAACTCAATCTGGAAATATAAGTGAGCGCTGAAAATTGAATTATGAGCGAGAGAGACGAAAGAGTAAATGTCTCGAAGTGGTCAGTATGCAAATTACGGCTGGTCGTGGGGGGCCCAGCTACACACTCTCATGTATCGACCTCAGACGACGGGGCGTGAACGAGGACATTCAAGGGGATCCTTGACGAGGCCCGAGCGCGAAACGATGAACGGTGCAGAGACGATGACAACAAAACCTTCATGCTTCAGCAAACACACCTTCACACTTAGAAAGGGCAAACGGATCCAAAGGACTGGATGGATTCTCACCTTTCAGCGAGCAAACCCGTGCCTGTCACACTTCTTCAATTACTTACTCGCTTGTGCAACCTATAAGGACAATTTCGAAAAAAAACTAAAAAAAATCAGGAGTAAAGAACAAAGAAGTCTGTTGAGACTAAGCTAGTCCTGTTCAAATGATCCATCAATGCACAAACAGATCCCCAGCGAAAGATTTTTTCAGCTTCGGAAACGACAAGAAAAAAAGGTGCTCTGATAAAAAAAATTTCACATCATTGTGACACTGATGAATCTACGATTAGCCGTATCAATTAATCATTGCTGCAATTCGCACAGTCGCGCTACTTGATATATTAGTTGCCATTTACGGCAGGGTGGATTGAAAAACTCTTATTATAGAGTTTTCTCGATGTAATTCCATAAGATGGAATCGTATTTGGAAACATGCTGACATGCGTCCAAACAATGCTGATTTCAAAAATTTAAAATGAAATGAAAAATCTGACATATCGCAAAAATTCTTTACAGACTCAATCACATAATCGTATGAAGACATATGAGCGAACTCAAGGAAAGGGAATCAGCAAAAAAGCTCTTCCATTTTATCCCCAGAATTTTTTTTTTGAATTCAGAATCTACATAAATTTGCGACCTTATCTTGATTACTTACAGATAAAAAATTTACATAAACGTAACTCATAGCTACAGTTTCCTACAAATCGTAAAACGCAGCCATGGTTTCTTTACACTAGAAATTCACTATCAACAGCGGCTGGTTTTCCGGGCGAAAAAGCAAAATAAAACCACCAGCTTTCTCTACTGCACTTGCAGATTAAGCAGAAAAACCGAAACTCATAGAGTAGAAAAAATTTGCAGCAAATATTGGTTTTCCAACTTGCACTATCTAAATCTTTCCAAAGTCGCAGATGGTATATCATATTCGAATGGATTAAGCTATAGGGCAATACTAGTAAGAAAAAGTTTCATACAAAGCAAAATTTACAATTTTTTCTATAAGGCGATAGAGTGCGAAGCACACGAATTATATAAGTGACTGAAAGATATCCAGAAGCTGCTGAATATTTACTGTTTCTAGCACTCTTAATATGTGTTTTTTTTAGATTGGAGACTGATACGCTGAAAGTGAACGGTACAAGTGAATGGGTTCTATTCCGAGTTGGTATATGTATGATCAATGAGCTTGAAAAGATAGAAATGAGATTGCGCGACTAGAAAAAAGTCACCAAAAAGTAAGTAATGAGCAATGAAATAATACGTGCGAGAATGGTACGAAAAACAAAGCTACAAAGACTAATTATGAAAAAAATCGCGAATTTGATGGATAGATATCGAAATGTAGCAAAACGAGAGCCTAGCAAATTCTAGAATAATCCTCAAAATTGACCCAGCCATGCAGGAAATATAATGATCGATCGAGCAGAGGACCAGAGACATTCGTATGGGCGGTGGTGGGTCAATTGGGCAATGTGTGCGCAACGGATGGGCATACCGTTGATTACGTCACATCGTTGGACAGCAGAAAAAAACAGTGTTGGAGACACAGTGTAATAAGAAATTGCAGAAAATTCGCAATAAACTTGCTCGCAATTCGAGAATTTGTCGTCAAATTTCCCCTCTTCTTCACTTAGGATCGCATTAGATTGATGAATAGTGGCTCAAAAATGATCGAGATTAACTGAAGCTATTTTGGAGTCTATATACACATGAGCATAACCCAATGGTCAAGCAAAGGCCGCCAGCCGCCGCCGCGTCGGGAGCATCAAAAAGGGCGTGGCTAGCAGCCCCGCCCCTCTGACCCCGCGAAAAGAAGCACGCCTGGCAGAAACGAGCACACAAGCAAATGGCTATCGAATCACATCAATGGAATGCGACTGAATACCTTGGATTCAAGGACACTCAAATGATTCGAGAAGGTACCAAGATCACCAGATATTTGATGCGTCTGCCAGGTGGAAAAAATCTGAAATAGTGTTCTCTTTAGTTGCATAATAGCGACTAAACAAAATGAGTGAAAATTAAAATTCAAAAACTCTTGAATCAAAACGGAAAACCTTTAGCTCTTGTCCAAACCGCAGCCACATTCGAAGAATTACCTAAGGCAAAAGCTCTGAATGACAGAAAAGCCCAAAATACAGAAAAAATGTCCGACACTGCTCCCTCTTTGAAACGAATATCCCAGGTGCCGAAAAACCATGCAGACGAAAACGTACTGGAATGCAAGATCGTACCAAAGCTAAGACGACTACTGTGGTACAAATGAGATGCCCTCTCATACCAGTAACCCAATTCCTCAAGTAAAAAGTCGTAACGAACAGTTGCGCGTTTAATTTCCCGTAGCCATAAAACTCGTGGGATTCGTAATAGCCATTTGGAGTGAGAATTAGTAACACATATAGCTAGCACCTAGGTCAACAGGAGGCACTAACACACACCCTTCGGAACACACGAGAAAGCAGAATACTTGAGCAAGAACGGTGCCACTTTTCCAGACGCTGTAGCTCTATGTGATTCCAAAGAGCTGTTAAATCTACTAAGTAAAGATTGCGCTTTCATGAAATGAACAGAAAAGGTGGACATCGTATACAATCCTGGCAATCCTACCAGCATACATTTTTGTCTGTGTGAAAAAGCAAATCAGTTCCTCTTTCTACGGCAATAACGATGTCAATATTCTCTACAGAATTCGCAAACAAAAAAGCAACAAAT